AGGGAAGTGATTATCCACACTTAGCACTCCTTGTGAAACCACAGAGGCTGGCAGGGACCTCTGGAGACCATCTAAGTCCAAGTCCTGCAGAGTTACCTAGAGCAAGCTGCTCAAGGCCATGTGGAGATAGGTTTTGAACTCCAAGGATGAAGCCTCTACAGCCTCTCTGACCAAACAGTTTCAGAGTTCAATCACCTTTACTGTGAAGATTTTTCTTCTAATGTTTAAAAATAATTTCTTGTATTCCAGACCACATCTAGAATGTCACATCCAGTTTTAGGGAACACAATACATGAAAAACGTGAATAAACTGGAGCAAGAGCAAAAAGGTCACCAAGACACTCAGGGGCACAGAGCACATGCCTTGTGAGATGTTGGGGAAATGGGTTATTCAGTCTGAAGAAATAAAGGCTTCAGAAGCACCTAGCAGCAGCCTGCTAAAACCTATGTCATCAAGATGACAGAGCTCCATTTTTAATAGTGGTACATAGTGGAAAGATAAGAGACAAGAGACAAACAAAAAGTGCTCCATCTGGCTATAGGGAGAAACTTCAACATGAAGACAAGCAAGCATTGGAACAGGCTAACCCCCAGAGACTGTGCAGTCCCCATCCTTGGAGGTTTCAAGACCCAACTGGACAAAGTCCATAGAAACTCAATCTGACCTCAGAGCTGACCCTACTTTGAGCAGAAGTTTAGGTAGAAGCCTGTTTCCACCAGAGTTATCCTATGTTCTTATGATTTTACAGGTTCTCATTTGCTTTACTGAAATAAATGAGAAAAAAATTGCAGTGAGGTATCGTCTTTCTGGGACAAAAACTAAAGAAAATATTTAGAGCACAGAGTCATGAAGCACTGAAAAGGAAAACCATTACAGCACATCATCATCCAAGACTGCTATAAACCAGTCAGTTTATATACAGCTAGAGATTACAAGACTGACATTTTAGAGAAGCAAATTAATATTAAAAAATCACATACTCTTTGTATTAAATCAGTTTTTTAGATTTCAAACAAATTGTGTTGAGACACATGTGCAGTCATTTAGGAGCCTATAACTAGAGACAACCAACAGAGAACAAAGATGCAAAATAATCTAAGAACATAAAATAGATTATAAACTATCATGCAATATCAAACATTAATTACTTGAAAAGTTCTGCAAAACTCTCTAACTGGAGCCAAAGACATACTCACATAGAAACGCCCAGATCACAAAGAGCGAATCTGCTAAAGCAACAGATGACTTGACCAAGGTTTTTATTTCTTTCTTTCCCTTAAGTGGGGAATGTCACACTTCTCCCTGCTAAGAACTCTATGCATGTCAGGAAGCGATTGTCCTGCTGCTCAATGATGACTCTTATCTTTTATTCCATAGGTCTCTGTGGTTCAAAGATGTGTTCTTATATTAAAAATACATAGTCACAGTAGACACAGAAGGGAGTGAGGTAAGATGAGTGAGGAACAAAGAAATAACAGACCCTATGTGCCGCAAAACTCCAGCAAGAAATACACATCTATTAATAACACCTTTGACAATTCTGGAATCAAGAAAATGAGACAGTCAGAATGGGCTGGAAAAATAAATGAGCTTTCCTTTAGGAATAATAAAGGAATACAAATACTATCTTTCTTCCATCACACTTTTATGCACCAGAAAGACAAACACACAAAAAATGTGTCAAGCTCATATTCATATAAAATTTCACAATAAGGCCCTAATTGTCATCAAAATGCACTGTTTAAATTTATCCAATACTGGTAGGCCAACATCAAATGGAAGTTTATACTGATGAATAAATTGACGGAAATATTCTGCAGAGATTCTTTGATTTCTGTTATTACCTCCTGTCACGTATTCCTCTACTAAATTCCTTGAACAGCTTATTCAGATATCTCAGACAAAACTATCAGTAGTCATACATGAGTCTCTTATGCCATATTTTCAGAGAACAAGAAAGAAAACATGATAGCATTAATCTCATTCAGGACTCTCCTTTGGGTTTGTGTTTTTATGTTGTCTGGTTTTGTGACTTTGTGAGACAAGCAGTTTTTCTTGGTGGCTGTAAAAACATTGCATTATCTATAGTAAATCATACAAAAAATACTAAGGGAGTAGTAACAACAAATATAAGCATGGCTTCCAAGAAACAATCAGCAGCAACTTTCTTGGGAGATAGAGAGACCAACTAGACCTCTGCATATTGGCAACAAGCTTGGTAAACTGAGAATCTACAGCCATTAAAGTAAACCTGTGTCTCAGCTGTCATGATCCTGCCTTAGCCCTGCTGTGTAGTTCTAATCATTTCTTTGCTATGGTACCTATTCAAGGTGTTCACACCTTACACCAATCAGTGCCTTTTTGGTTTTTTTGTGTTATCAGGCAGTTCAGCTCTGTGAACCAGCTCACAACAGCCAGCACTCAGCAAGAGACAGGTAAGAATGAGCATTCAGGTGCAGGCAGGAGCACTGGAATATTTCAATTTGTTGTAATTCAGTTTATGAAATTTGGGGCATGATTTGATCTTAAATTTAACAATTACAGCTCCAACCTGATGTAGCCACATCTATTTCTTGCCCTCTACTAGTAGATACCATAACCGTGCATCTGGAATGCAAGTCAGCTAGAATCATAGCATCACAGATGAACCCACTGGGGATCTTTAAAGTTCAGCTAGTCCAAATCTCCTGCCACAGACAGGGGCAGCTTCAGCAAGATCAGGTTTCTTAAAGCCACATCAGACCTGATCCTGAACACTTCCAGGGAAGGGAAGTTCACAACTTCTTTGGGCTCCCTCATAAACTCTTTGTGTCCAATTTAAATCTATTCTCTTTCAGTTTGAAATGTTGCCCCTTGTCCTATCACTGCAGGTCCTGGCAAAAAATCTCTCACCAGCTTTCTTAAAAGTCCCCTTTAAGTACTGAAAGAGTATAATAACATCTCCCCAAGGCCTTCTCTTCTACAGGCTGATCAACCCCAACCAGCAGTAGGACAAGAGGGCACAGACTCAAGCTCTGCCAGGGGAGGTTTAGGTTAGATATTAGGAAGAGATTTTTTACAGAGATAGTAATCAGGCATTGGAATGCGCTGCCTAGGAAGGTGGTGGATTCACCATCCCTGGAGGTTTTCAAGATAAGACTAGATGGCACTTAGTGCCATAGTCTAGTAACCATAGTAGGGCTGGACTTGATGATCTTTGAGGTCTTAGGATTCTCAGTCTTTCCTCATAGAAGAGGTGCTCCAGCTCTCTGATCATCTTCATAGCTATGCTCTGGACCTGCTCCAACAGGTCCACATCTTTCTTGTGCTGAGGACCCCTGAAATGATGCAGCACTCCAGGTCGGGTCTCATGAGAGCAGAGTAGGCAGAGTCACATACCTCAACCTGCTGGACACACCTCTTTTGATGCAGCACAGGAAGCAGTTGGCTTTCTGGGCTGCAAGTGCACATTGCTGGTTGTGTCCAATTTTTCATCCACCAGTATCCCCAAGTCCTTCTCTACAGGGTTAGATCTTCCAACCAACTCAACCTACAACAACATGACTCTTCTATCTGGTAAGTAAAGTGGTATCAACACAGAAAGGAAACAAAACAGGAGACTGGGAGAAGAAAAACAAGAAACGCTTTCAAGAAAAACAAGAAGCCTCCAAGAGAACAGCAGCACTCTGCAGTTGCACTGAATTAACTATAAATGAATTAACTTCAGTTGCACTGAATTAACTGTAACATCATTAGTCACACCACTAGAATAATCTTTCAAGCCTGCTTTTGATAGATGAGTGCATCCTTGAATACATCCAATACCATTCCATTTATATAAAGAGCTTAAATTTTCATTGATGCAGTTTAATTCCATTACAATCGGTTTCCATATTTTGTTTATCAGTACTTGATGGATTTGTATGAAAGCAGAATTTTAAGCAGAAATTATCTAATCTCTGAACCTCCTTTTCTAGAAAAAAATAGAGCAGCAAGCCAGTGACAATGTTTGAAAAACAGGTAAAATATTTGGAGGGCTTGCATTCCTTTACTTGGGTTTCTTCCTTTCCAGTAGATTTCCAGTTCTCACTTTTTTCTTTATAATGTTTCACATATTTCTGCTATATGGTCAAGCATTTTAAAATTTAGTAGTTCTGAGAGACTGAAAAAAGCAAACCAGCATTTTTTACAGGAATCACCATGAGAAAACGACTATGTATTTCAACAATGCCACAGAAAACACTGAGCTATTACTCATTTGACCTTTAACCGGGAGAAATACACTTAAAATACCTTCAAAGAAGTTAAAGACTTCCATCATTGACACAGTTTTACAACAATTGTGCCAAAAATGAACTCTGCTACAATTTTCAATTCACAATGTGCCTTATGTTCTAATATGAATGTTTCATTGCCTAAGTCATAGGAAAGAATGTCATGATAAACCTACATGCCCATGAATTCAAATGTGCACACACAAACCCACCATTGTTACTCAACAGAAAATTGTGCCTGCATTTATAGCCTCTCCACACAGAAAAAAAACAAAACCTTAGTGAAGTAGCACAGGTATCAAGTTTTAAATGGATATTTTAAATATATGAAGATAATTTCAGGAGCTAAGACTGCAATCATTTATAGGTTGCTATATTCATGCCTTAAAAATTAATAAATAAGCTAGCTTTTAACCACCTCAGTGAGATCTTAAGCAGACATTCTTCATGCTTAGTGACTTGAGGTGCAAAACATGCCTCCAGAACTGGAGATTTCAGCCTGGCTCTAGAACACCACACCACAATGAAACATGCAAACATTTGGATGAAAAGAAGTTGCGTGACCATTTTTTCCCTTCTCCTTTCTCAGTACTATGCCAAACTAGCAGTGGATTTCTCCAATAAGAAAATCAACATCTCCCCTGTTTTTCATAGATGCATTCTCTCTCAACAACCCTAAAGTAGTTCAAAGCCATGATACGAATCAGTTAACTCCACTACTTACAGACAGAAAAAAATCAATTTACCTGAATGCCATCAAGCAACTTGCTCATGCACCAGTAACTGTCAGCTTCTATGTTCTGCAGCGCTTCTTCAGGCAGACTGGAAACATCAAAATTTTCCACTTCTTCTTCTTCTGTTTCAAGAAAAGAGAAAGAAAGACAAGTCAATGAAGTGCACAGAATAAATAAAGCAAGGAGGAGGAAAATAATTGAAAACAAAGACAGCCACCACTTATCTTCTAGTCAGAAACTTCAATGCACATTTACTTTAACAGGGACTAGATGAATCATTTATTGCTCAACTGTGTCATCTAATGGCTTTAAATGTTAATGAATACTTAATTTCTTGCAGACTGTGAAAATCTCAAATCATGCCTGGTTAACCAGAATTAATATATAATAAATTGCTTCATTCTAAACATTTCACACCTGAAAGAGGATCAGAAGCACTTTGAGAGCCCTCAAGCTATATATGAACAATCTCTGAAGATGACTATGTTTGCATCATGCACAGAATTTGCAAATAATGTCAGTCTTCATAGACGAAAAAACCCTCAAAAATACTTGTTAGAAAACCAGTGAAATTTATTTTGAGAGTTGACTACAGGTTTTCAAGGAGGATTTATTTTTTACAGGCAAGCATTTGGAATTAGACGGAAATCAGACAACAGGAAACAGATGATTCCCACTCCCCCAAAAAAATCTGCAATTCTGAACACTGGAAAAGTACAGAACCCCAATGATGTCTAATTCATGGAAACTGAGTCTTTCACACAACTGTGTTAAAAAAGAAATCACATTTCAACATGAACCCAAATTTTACCATCGAAGCTACATAGTTGTCATTTTAAAGCATAGCATCTGAATTAATGCAGTTTGAAAACAGAACACAGAATGTGTTGTCTTGCCACCTAACTCCCAAAGCTCCCATACAGCTAGAAGAGAGATTAACACGAGCTGTGAATGCTCTGAGTAAATTCTGTAGCTTCCTTCTTGCAGCAGCTCACAGTGTCTTATTGTATCAAGATGAGTATCAAGCAAGCACCTGTCCCAGCCCTGGTTTATTCTCAGGGAGGAGGAGGTGCAGATCAGAGATGTTTAATTCTACCTAAACAGAGCATGGTATACCAAAGAAGGAATTTTCTCCATTACACACCTGCAAGGTAGCAGAGAATAAAAAGTAAAAGAAAACAAAGAATATATGTTGTCTTAAAACTCTTCTATTACCTGTCTCATAGCTTTGCAGCAAGTAATTACAGATGCCTACGTACATCTTTAGGTTGTCACATTTCATTATACCACCTGAAAGCACTTATTTGTCAATTAGTAATAACCATTAGCATTACATATGTCTTAAAATAATTTTAACATCCCAGTGATTTTACCATTACATGTTAACACAGGTATCAAGGTGTTACCAAAGCATTTTTGTTTGCATTGGTGGCTAAATCTGGGTGTGAGTCTTTTTAAGGAATCACTGGGTTTGGATTGTGAAATATTAAAAGCTGTATGACAAGAAGACTAGGCTGTGCTAATAAAGCATTGGTTAAGATATTTACTTACCAGGGAAACCTGGTAAGTAAAACAGGGGATTGCAGCAGAGACTCCATAAAATGGAGCAGAGCTGTAAAACAATGCACCAGTAGTCACTTACTGGTCATTAAAGGAACACTACCTTTGCACTGGAGTACAGTTTCGCAAAGCCACTTTCTAAAAGAAGATAAACAAGCATTCAACATATTTCAAATGCCCTGTATAATAAATTGAGATATAACACTGCCTTGCAAACCAACCAAGAGCGAGCAGCAGACTGCAACAGCAGATTTTTTTTTAGTACCATATTCCTCCCAGTGAACATGCAGGCAGATCCCCTAGAAATCAGTATCATAGTCCTCTCCCAGCAGCAGACAGCAAATTCACATTTACCATGCTCTATGGAAAATGAGGGTAACATAGGGAGCAAGTGGGAGGTAATGCTTTCCTCCAACATCTCTCTGTTTGGGTCCCATTGCTTCTCTATTAGACTCCTCTCATTAGAGACAGGTTCTAGAACAAACTTGGCTTCATTTCACTTGTTTAATCTAACCCCTCCACAAAAAAAGAAATGTTAAGTGAAAATCCTAGCATAATATAAAAGTACTTTCATGGTAAAGATGCTTGAATACAATGGGGATAGCAAGAAAGGATATAAGGAAGGCAAACAGGCCAACAACAATAAAAAACCCCAAAACATCATGGAATGAAGAAATCTAACTCAGATTAAACAAGTAGCTTAGGTAATGCACATCGGGCAAAATTGATCCAAATTGAAAAGGCAGTTCTGCAGCCACGAAAAAAGACCACAGAAAGGTCCCCAAAAGTCAAAAAAGTAGCAATGCAATGCCAGCAAGTCCTTTATTAAGTACATTAACAGAAAAATTACAAGAGAACTCACAAGACTTACAGAAAGACTGAAAATTACTAGACTTAACAGGGACAAAAAAAGTCTATTTAAGATAAGTTTGATATGAATCTGTAAAAAACATCAATATTAAATATTTATCTATCTATCTACCTCCAATCAGATGTGTCTTGAGATTTTAAGCAAGAAAGCCCCACAATTTTCAGCAGAGAAGCCATTTTTCACCAGTTGAGAAATTCAAATTAAGGATGAATATTCACATGAATTTAGAAGAGGAAAACTTTTCCAGACAGAAAAGAAGATGAATAATGCATCCTCTACAGTGGGAACAAATTTTTTGGTATATCTTATACATGTTAACTCACAAAAATGTCTCACAGTCATACATTTATGTTTATTATATACTCATAAAGCAGTGCCCCAGTGGAAAAAAAAGTCTAATCAATATTTTCTATTTTATTTTTAATATTTTAAATGGAAAAAAAAAGTAACCTAGTCTCTCTCTGCCTCACAATGTCTACAGAAAAAAAAAAATAAATGAATCAGAGTTCCTCAAAATACAGAACACAAACATATACTGAACTTTCTTCCTCTTGACAACAGCAGTCTTCAGGCCCTCTTCCACCAAACATTTGCTGAAAGAATGAGATTACTACTACTTAGATAATGTGTTCCTTTGCAAATTTCCTGCCTTGGAGCACCTTTTCTTTTCATGATACTGCTATCACATTTCTGAACAAAAAGGAAGTCATAAACTGTAGCACAACACAATAACTCTTCTACAGGTGGGCATGAAAAGATAACAAATGAAAAAGACTTTTTATCTTCTCTTTCTCATCTTTCTTATCTCACCTCTTTTTTAGTCCCTCTCTTTCAAAATCTGCCATTTCACACTACATTCTCACAGCAGGATTTAAGCCAACTAAAAAGCTGAAGGTACACATAACCATGGAAGGTGGGCAGCTTCACCTCCCTTCACAGCCAACAAGGAGTGACAGAATATTACTTGTTCTAAACTAGAAACCTGAAATAAATCAGATGTATCCCATCCAAAACAAAACTCTTTCTCTCAGTATTAGCTATAATTTGATCTTAAAAGGAGTGCCTCGGAATGTAGACCTCTAAACTGTCAAACTCTAGACTTAGCTGAAACAAAACTTTAAACACCCATCAAAAGATTTTCTATCTGAACTACCTGCAACAAGGAGAACTGACAGGCTGTGAGAAAACTATGGCAGCTGGTGGCAACTTGGACAGAAAAGACACCCCAGCATTAATATTTTGGAAAAACTAGAATCTGATTGTTCTAGGAAAGTCAGATTATTAAATTAGAACAACCAATTATTTTTTCCCCACAGAAACTAGAATAGAGCTTTTAAGAAACATCTTTCAATGGTTCCAATTACTGTTCATCACATGCATGTTACCCAAGCACAAAGAGGACAGGTCTTTCTGAAAAGAACAAAGGTCTGAGATAAATTCACTATTCTAAGTAAAAGTCTCATTATTCCACAGGGAACAACGAAAAACGGAAAGGCAACTATTATCAAGTTCTTTCTGCTCTAGTTTGGGTGACCCTATAAATCGACAGATAGAGGTGGCATTTAGGAACATCCAATTCTTTCACTAAAAGAATCCATAGTCCCCAAACATAATGTCACAGAACCACAAGCTCAGCCATTCCAGAAATAAAAATAGCACTTTCAGGAAGTACACATCAAGCCGCCTTGTTCTGTCTCTCCCTTCTGAAGAGACATCCAAGAACATTATGCTTTTCTGTGGCTTAAATGGACTGATCTCCAGCATTTTCATAAGCCTCTTAAATGCAAAATAAATATTCAAGATTTTTTATATGTTCTTTAAATATATAAGCTACTTCTAGCCCAATTTTCAATCCCATTGTGCTTCTCATGCATCACTAAGTCATCTCCTCTAAAGTCAGACAGTAAGTTTTGAAATTTAAAAAAATCTAATTCAATGTGTAAGACAACTCAATTGTAGTTCAATCATACCCTAGCAGTATTCACCCTGTGTAAAACAACTCTTGTCAAACGTTAGCTTAAAACTCTGCGACCAAGTATTTAAAAGAATAAGTCTAATTACTCCAAGCCCTATTAAAATGCATTTAAATTAAATCAGCTAAGAAGGATATTTTTGGATATATTATATTAACTAGTGCTTTATGCTTTAAATGTGGTGTAAGCTGAACAAGGAGCTACAGTGTGGAAACACCCAGACACCAATCTAACTGAAATGGGAGATCATCACAAAAGGCACCAAAGTGCTCAGGGATGTGCAATGGTTTCTGCTGCACCAACTCACCTTAATTTGCTGCACCTTACTGAGGAAGTTCAACACTGATGCTGAATATCGAAATGACCCTTTGCCACACTACAGCTGAAATTGGAAAAGGCCATCCATTTTGATGACAAGTGCCAATTAAGGAACATTTGATTGGCAGAATGCTATGCAAAATCATAATTTGCATATTTAATGTTTATTCATTTATTTAGGTAGGCACATAGTGCAAGATGCTTCTTTTTCTATGTAGTTTTAATGGGGAAAGGAATCAAGCTGCATGCATCTTTTCTCCCCCTTTTTCTTTTTTAATTTTCTTTGTTTGCTTTATTTGAATGGAGAAATAAATGCACTAGAGAAGTATAAAAAAAGAAAGAAAGGAAGAGATTTCAGGCAAAACAACAGAAGAAGCAAAAATAATAATCCTCAAAGTAC